CACACACACACACACACACACACACACACACAAACACACACGCGAAAACACATACGCACACAATCATATACGCGAAAACTCTCATACACACACAAACACACCAACGCCAACACCAACATCAAACACATCTTACCTTTTCCAATTCCAGCAGGTGAAAGCGTAAAACCTGTATGGCTTGAATCATCTGCAAAATAAGAAATATAAAAAGAAAGGTAAGACGATAATATAATTTAGAAGAGGGTCGAAAAGACATGATAATATTATTTCATTCCGACACAAAAACCCCAAAACGCTATGTAAGCCCAACGCTAAACACCAGAAAATGAATTCAAAACACTCTACAGAGTATTAAAGAACTATTTCGTGGAGGCTTCTGTCGCCTAGAATGGACTAGTTCTTGTTGAAGTGGAAGGCATTCCCTAAAGAAAACCGGGTCTCAAAATACACGTCATGGCCGTGAAGTCATGAAAGCTTTCACTAGGGGTGTCCTAGCCAGCTCGCTTACCTCACGGTATGTCTGAGGCGTGGGGTCCTCACGGCCTTTGGATAGGCAATAGGCCCGCCTCCTCAGGGGGCTGTGAACTTTCTTGCGATTAAAATGCAAATGATACGTGCTTTAAAAAGAAAAAAAAAACCGGTGAAAAAGGCAGTCCCTTTTCGACCTTCCTTCTTCCCCCTTAAGACTTCTTTGTTCTTTTTCTAATTTGAATTTATAATTTTGTTCTTGAGCTTTAAACAATCGTCTCGTTCAAAGTCCCCCGAAAAGGCAAGCAGGCGAAAAGGTTCATGTGCACAAACAAACGAATACACAAACGCAAACCTTGATGCAGATTGATTTTGATACACGCTAAAATTCGGTCAACAAACATACAAATTATGCAAACAAACGTGTAAGCAGACAAACAGACAGACAGACAGCCAGACAGAGAGACAGACAGATAGACGGACGGGCGGACGGACGGACGAAAGGACGGATAGATAGATAGATAGATAGATAGATAGATAGATAGATAGATAGATAGATAGATAGATAGATAGATAGATAGATAGATAGATGTTGGGAGCGGTACACACTCAAGACTGTTCATTATCCTGCACTCGACAAGCGAGGGCATTGTGTGCCACTTTTGCACACAGGGAGACAGGGGGAGCAGAGATTAGCTTGTGTGAATATATTAGTGTGTGTATGCTTGTGCGTGCGTGCGTGCGTGCGTGCGTGCGTGCATGCATGCGTGTGTGTGCGTGCGTGCGTGCGTGTGTGTGCGTGTGTATGTATGTATGTGTGTGTGTGTGTGTGAATGCAATTCCTTGTGTGTGAATAATAATAAAAATGGTTGTCAATGTCAGTACTCTTGCTTGAGTGTAAGTTTGCATGAATATGGGTGAGTTCGACTGTGAGAGTGAGAGCGTGCACATATGGATTTGCGTGTCTGTATGTTTCTATACACGAGCCTGTGTCAGTGTGGTTGTGTGTGAGTGTGTATAGTGTGTGTTTGTGTGTGTACGTCTGAGTGTTAGTTTTGCGTGTGTGCCTTCATGTGTTTACGAGCGAATATGTGCATATTTGTGAGTAATGTGTGCATGTGTATGTGTGTGTATGTCTGTGTGTGTGTGTGTACGTTTGTACGAGTGTGTACATGTATGTGTGCGTGTGAGTATGTGTGTGTACGTATTTTTGTGTGTACACGTGTATGTGTGTTTGTATGTTTTGTGTATGTGTGTGTGCGTGTGTGTGTGTTTGTGTGTTTGTGTGCATACGTGTGTGTACATGTATATGTACGTGCGTGTACGTCGTGTGCGCGGAATGCAACAGGCCACTCTGTGCCAGAGACACATGTGGGTCAGCGGAAAGAATCCTGCTAATGTCTTTAAGGTCCCGATCTCCCACTGCTCGGCCCATAGACCTGGCCTTCCGCAGGAAGCGCGCCACTAATTAGGAATTAAGTCTGGGCTAGAGAGAGAGAGCAGCGGTCAGTTGTTACCGGGTGATTAGACCGGCCAGCTGACCGGAGGGGGCTTCCTCGGACAGGTGCAAGAGAGACCAGGCGGATGGGGTTTCAGACCCGGGCTCGGTTCGTCTCCTGTGTGTGTGAGTTGGTGCTTGGGATACAGAGGTGTATGTGTGTGTGTGTGTGTGTGTGT